TATACTCATTCGGACGGCCGAACGGAAAGAATATCTAACCACCAACTAGACGCTTACTTAATTTACCAAATTTGAAAGAAAAATCATGACTAGCCAAGCACTAATCCCAGTAAATAACCCCGCTGAACTAATTTTGGCTGAGATTAAAGCCAAATGCGAACGATTTAAGCGAGAAAGGGGAGAACAATTAGCCACTCTCCAACAAGTAAAACAGCAACTTAACCGCATTGAAAAACAAATAGCCCAGAAAGATCAAAAGGAGGGGCAATGACTGAATTTACTCCAAGCTTACTGAAGTAATGAAGTCGATATTCTTCACTTAGCCCAATCCCTCCAAACTAGTTCATTACCTAGCGAAAAGGCCAAGATGATTGAGCAGATAAAACAACTTAATAAACCTAATATTAAAATAGAGAAGGAGTTTAAAAAGCAGAGTTGGTGAGGGTGAATAGGTAAGTTATTATTTTGGTTAGTAATAATTGGGTTAGGAGTTGGGGGAGGGTTTTTGGTTTATCGGAAATATTGAAATTATGAGGAATAAGGGTTTATTAAATTGTTGTTAATTAGCTTTTATGTTATGAAAAACATATATAATACTAAATATGGAACTATGAGGGTGAAAGCCAAGATAAAGTTTCATCGGAAAGAAGATTATTTGATGAGTTCAGGAAAAATAATTACCATGGAAATGATTTTAAAGCAATTGCCTAATGTAAATAAAAAGGAGTTTCCGGAAGATTATCAGTTTCGTTGAGCGGCTTTTAGCCGCGAAAATCCAAAGGAAATAATTAGATTTGATAACCATGATCATAAGGAACCACATTGGCATGATGGCGATTACCAAGAGTTTTTCTCTTGAGTAAGTTTAGATGAAGCCTATCAGTCATTTTACAAAAAGGTTATTAACAAGTTTGGTAAATTTGAAAAACTTCTAGTTACTCATTTTAATTATCGTTATGAAGAAAAATAAAAAAACATTTGTATTTAAATACGATCCTAATTGTAGCCCAGAAAGGATGTTTGCTGATTTTAAATTGGCTACTGAGGGGAAGTTGAGGTCGGTAGAACCCAATGTTATCCGTTCCAATAATCTTGAAGTTCTTTTGACTAGCATCAATAATAATCACTGGGATATTTTTAATGTCTTAAACAAAAAAAAACCAGAATCTTTAACTGAATTAGCCAAACTCCTGAATCGTGATTATGGAAATGTTTGAAGGGATGTTCAAACTCTAGAAGCTATGGGAATTGTCAAACTAAAAAAAGAAGGTAAAGAGACAAGACCTATTGTTTTATATGACGAAATTGTTTGAGAAACACGCTCTGAAACACACTCTCATTCTGCTTTGGTGGAAGAGTTGATGAAAAAGGAACTAAGCCATCGCATCTTAACAAAACCTAAAGAAATTATTATCAGAACTTACGATTATGACTGAAAATAAAAATAACCAAACCGAAGAAATGACCTTTTTAGTTATTGCCAATCAACCCGGAGTGAAGGAAGAAATAACTAGGCAAGATATACAAAGAGCTTGTTTAGAGAATTGAAAGGATAAAGAAGGTAAAGAAAAAGAGATTTTTTGAGTAATAAGTCAGCAAGAATTTATTGAAAAAAATCTATCCCAAAACTCAATACTTAATTCGGCTATTATCGGAGAAAGAAAAGGGTTGGTGATGGTAAAGGTTCATCTTTCAGATGAAACTACTCGGGAAACAATTCGTAAGGCTAACGGCATTGATGTTACAGAAGCTATTTTTCAAGATGAGAAAACTGCTAAGGAATATCGAGGATACGAATTCTGACTATTAGAAAAAGACAAAGTTCCGAGCCATCTTTTGTAAAAAGAAAACAAAACTTATTGCTACATTCAACTCCTTAACAATGAGTTAATAACTATTTCTTTAATAAGTCAAAACTCACATCCTCATTAATTTGACTATAAGTAAAAATGCTTTACAATTTATTTACTTTTTTAGTTGTGAATATAAATCATTAGAGATTAAAAATTGCTTATGGAATTGCTTGTATTTCGCTTGCTAAATAGATTATTATTCGTTTATTATTTTAATCTACCTTTATTCTATAAAGGTATTAAGCAATCGGCCGAAATTTCACCAAATTACTTAAATCACTATCTTTGATATACAAAGCCGTAGTAGAAATTTTACTGTGTCCTAATATTCGTTGTAAAATATTGAGGGGCATACCGGCTAAGGTATTATAGGTGGCAAAACATCTCCGTAAAGTATGAGGAGCTAATTCAGTGCGAGCCGGAATACGCAATTCTTTTTTTAACTGGTTAAGAAAATCAAAGAAACTTACCCGGTGTATTTGGTTAGGTTTTCAATTTCTTTTTTTTAGTTCCTGGCGAATTTCTTCACTCAAATAAACTCACCGGTCCTTACTCCCTTTTCCTCGTAATAAATATAAATGCTTATATTCTGGTTCAGGGTGAACTAGACTAAGATTAAAAGCAATAGCCTCGCTTACCCGCAAACCCACTTTTCAGCAGAGGAGAAATACACATTCTAAGATTTCTTTCTTCCGTTCTCCTTTCTTTTTGGGACGAGCTAGAGCGTAGTCTCAAACTTGCTGGACTAGTTGTTGAGTGGGGAGAATAGTTAAGGGTTTCCTCTTTCTCGGCTTTTTTAGTACGTTCATTTTAGTTAAGTTAGTTTAATTTTATAACAATTTTGCCAATCCCTCCCTCATCATTTATTAGTCCATTCATCTAAAAAGTCTCTTTCTTGGCTTTCTTTGGCTTGATAAAAGTGCTGTTGTTTGGTTAGGGCGATATGCTTATTAACTAAATCAATTACGTACTCTTGAGCCTTAGTTGCGAACTTGGCCGAATAAAGACGAGTTAGTTTTTGGTTAAGTTCGGAATTAGTTAAGAATAAATCCCCGTAGGTTGATTTTCATTGATTTTTCTCTTTTTGTTCTTGGACTAGTTCGGTTTCTAATTGCTTAATTCGTTCTTTTAAGTGGTTAATTTCGGAGTTGGTGGGTTCAGTTATTAAGGACTGAATTGTCGGAGCAATGTTTAGTACGTTCATTTTATTTAATTAGGTTAATTATAGGTTTTTCCCCAACTTCTGACACGTACCCGAACAAAAATAAACATAATTAAAGCAGCCAGATAAAACTCTTCCCGCTTCATCTTTTACTGGAATTGGTTGTCTAATAACCTTTTCTAACTTGGTATCTTTCTGACAAGTAGCACAACGGAATAATAAGTTGGTGTTTTTATTTCAGCCTCACTTTCGGCTAGAAGCGGGTTGAATTTCTTTCTTCCGTGTCTCAATATTAGGAAGTTTGACAAATGTCTCAACACGGCTAACCTTTAATGTCTCAACATCTTTCGTTGGTGTCTCAATATTAGGAAGTTTGACAAATGTCTCAACACGGCTAACCTTTAATGTCTCAACATCTTTCGTTGGTGTCTCAACAATTA